GTGAAGAGGCATATGCCGAATGAATCAATCTCTAACGTGTTTGACGGTGCGGCATAGTTGTTTTCAAAGTCGACTTCACTTCCTTTTTCTATAGATAGGGTTAGTCTCAATGCGTATGGTTTCTGCACAACGTTGACTTTCCCATCCAAAACGGTCTTCAAACAATTCACATAGTCCGTTCTTGAAGTTGGTTGGGTAAATTTAAGTTGGCTCGAGGCTATATCAATCCGGGATATGTGGCTCCTTTTCGTATTTTACGGCAAATTGTCCTCCTTGTTTGGCTTGCTCCTAGCTCAGTCTAATATTTCTATAGTTTCTTTCGTTTAGTTTTAATGACTCGGCCATGTAAGATTTGATTTATGTTTCTTTGATAGTATCTAGTGTATTCGGCTCCCTCGTTGTGGAATTTTGGCTTCCTTTTTTGGGTCTTGACTCCGACATTTATGTTTTTTTTCGGCTTTTGGTGCTGGGAACATTTCTGTTGTCCGCCGGCACATGTAATTTTCTTATGTATTTTTATCCAATCAATATAATATAACATCATAGTATGACCCAAAAAATTGTAACTAAGAGACAAATAACACAATATAATATAACACCATATTTGAATTTTATATTGTCTCTATTTATGTGACCTTCCTGTGCAATATTTTTAGCTTGTTTCTCAAATGAGAAAAGGTTCTTCTTCTCTCTCCTCTTTTATTGTTGTTTTTTTATTAGCGTCGGAGGTGCTATAAAACCTCAAATATCTCAGTTGCGGGCAGGTGGATAAAGTTCCAAATTACACAATCATGCATCAGAGTTATGGAAGAATAAAATGGTTGCCACGAATTTGCATTTTCACCATTTGCCGTAATTGACTTACCGATAACATTGTTACCACTGTTCTCGTTGCCACTAACCATCTTATGTGGTCGTCTAGACATCAATCGTTGGTTCGAATTGTTGCTTCGCGGACTAATTCATTTGCTTTACTCGTAATTTTTCTTACTAGTGACTTGTTTAACAATGATATATATATATGTCGTCTCAAACTTGCTATACACATATAACCTCACAAGCTACATTTGATACCATGATTAGTTCTAAATATTGACCGTCCATGCATTTGTCAATGCACTGCATCTCCTTCGCTTGAATTTTTTCAAAATAGATCGTCTGTTTTCTTCGCTGCTAATTCTGCTCTCGCAAGGGAACTAATAAAAATACTCGATGGCTAAGTCATTGAAGCTAATTATAAGAAATTTATCTTGGTGATTATAGTTTGATATATACGATATTTTACCTATTTTATATTATTTTTAAGTTGTTTTTAATAAAGAAATGAATGGTTTTTGGATTTAACATGCTTCTTTTAGCATTTTCATGGGGTTTGAAGTCAATATAGGTTTTTGGAGCATTTTGGGCCTAAAAAGAGTGAAACCAAGTCTTTTCAAAGAAGAACAAATCATGACCGTCAGATGTTTCGCTCTAGTTTAAGAAGTGCTCACCGTCAGATCATTCTCATATTTTACCACGAGATAGAGGAGGATCTCAGCTTCAAAATGAATATTCGATCGTCGCAATCCGACGGTTAGATCTTGAGATATCATTAATCTAATGAAATTTGTTTGAATAAAGATCAAGCTAAAAGCGGTTCAGAATATCTACCCGTGATCGACGCCATAACAATTAATCGGACGCAAATTCACTGTTTTTGACGGATAGACACATTTACACGGTGATCGTCCATTCACAGATATACAAATTTTTCGAATGAAATCAAAAAAAATATCGGATCTGAACGAATCTAACAGATAATTTGCATAGCCCTAACTGCCGATATGACATCTTTATTTTGGAAAATGAGAGTTCGAGCCAACAATTATATTTAGAGATAAATTTGAAAATAT